CTAAGTTTTATGGCCCCGGGGCCTGATGTCTCTTAAATCATTTTGATCTGTTTCTGAGAATACTATACCAATATAAGTCTACAGATGCGCACGATATACGATTCATGTTCAATCATATCTCTTTACGTGAATTTTTCTATTTCGAGATCAATAAAACCCTTTGGAGCCACATATCTGTCAAAACATTGATATTTATCAGATTTGAAGAGGATACTAGAAATCAGTATCTAAAGTAAAATAACTGCATTGCTCTTGATTTCAAATATTATGTAATTCAGTAGTATGCACTAGTGCGATATTTATTATGGTTGTAAAACTTCCCATACATATGTATGTGGGAAACAACAGAATTAATAGAGGATATTCAATGTTTTGTAGATGAATATGGAATTTATTTCACGAGTGGGACAGGATTTTTTGATATTTTCACGAGTGCGAAGCACGAGTGAAAATATCAAAAAATCCTGTTTCACGAGTGAAATAAATTCCATATTCAAAAAAACATTGAATTTCTGTATATTACATTTTCTTAGATTTTCCCTTTGCCGCTGTCTTTTCGTAACACAGTGTCATAGGCTGTGACGTCATAGTTGAGAGGTTGAGACGCTTAGCTAAGCAATTGCGAGATTGAAAAACGTTGTAAACATGAATTTTTAACAACATATTTAGAAAAACTTTAGCAGTTTAATTATTAGTCTCTGTCGGGATTGCTCATTAACTCCATCTTAAAACAGGCCAAGGATTATTTTAAAAACGGGAAGGAAAATCGCAAGTTTTGCCGCACTTCTGATATTCTCACACTGTGAGAATACCATTTTTGATATCCTTTAACACTGTGTCAGAATTTCACTTTTATTCAGTAAATAAATTACAGTATTTCACTGTTGAAAATGTAATAAAAAGAAGATCTTTCATAGAAAATAATTAACTTGTGCAAAAATTTTAACTCACATTCTACTTATTTCTCAGTATCTCATAATTTGAATTCCAAGTGTAAAACAACAATAAATCTTTCTTTTTTAAACTGAAAATCTCAATTTAGAAGATTGGTAAAGAATTACATTGCAGCTACCAAAATAATAAATATCTACTGTCCAACTGTTTAACAAGTTTTCCCTGGCACTTTAGGCATCTGAAATTGTGTTCCTTTTGTTGAAATTATATGATTGAATAAAACAAAATTTAGTCTGTAGCATTTTGATAACACATGCAATGTCTGTTGAAGAATATTTTTCCTCAAATTTAATTACTTTATAAAAGAAAAATGTACGTCATTTGTGAGTACTTCATAATCCTATATGGAAATTTACTTGACTCCAAAACATATTGACACATCTGAAATTCTATCTCAGAATCTTTTTGAAAAATTGAAAGGAATGATCTAAAACCCATAGCTTGTCTAATTACATTTATCACCCTTTAAAACAATCAATATTTTCAATATTATTTACCGTTTTATTATGCTTCTCAAACAGTTCCTTAAAGTAGGCAAAATTCAAAATTACTGTAAAATTACAAGAAAAACTTTTGTTTCTCGTTATATATTCATTTGATATTCTAGCTTTCAATGATAGCCATCTATAATTTAATTAAAAATGTTACTGTAGGTGCTATTGATTTCAACTCATTCGAGTGTCTTAAGATAAATTGAGGTTTAATTCTGAAACTATAGATGATGAATTTCTCAAAACCGATAAAAAGATCAATAAACTTCTTAAACAAATGTATTTAATTTTCTACCCTTGTTACATACACAGTTGAATCATAAACAGCAATAATAATGACTGAAAAAAGAAGACTAATTTCTAATAAATAAAATTACTTGTGTATTTCTTAAAACAGATTAGAATTTATAAAACTTTTAGCATTTCATAAACAAATGCATCATTATTTTGCAATAACCATGCCTGAAGAAAGAAGACTAGTTTCTAATAAAATTTACCTGTCGATTTCTGAAAACATGTCAAATAACTTTATTTTTTTTCTACAGTAAAGTAAACATATTAATTCTTACAACAAGTATACAAGCAAATCGTTACTAGTATTAGAAAATTTGAATATGTTTATTGTAACATAAATTGTGGGATTTCAATCTTTTTTAATTTTTTTTAATTTTGTTCTTTACTTCTTCTATGCAATTATGTGTATTTTTTATTGAATTATTTATCAATTTTCTTCAATTGTTTGTCTCTGTAGTCAATAACGTGCCATGCACCTGCTAGAGGGGTGGCGTTCAGAGGGACATTTTTCTTGTGACACCATGTTATTGATTTTCTCTAGTAGAAAATCTAATTCAGGTATTGGTGCAGTAGAAAATCTTTTTCAAGTTTTTCCTGTATATCAAATTATCATTAACTTCATCTTTCAATATTGCTCACTTTATCAGTGAAGTAAATCACTTTTTTCATTAAAATTTCAGAATATCAGACTGAACTTTTTTCAAAGATATTTTATTTGTCGTATTTCTCTCACAAAATAAGTTAATTTTTATATTAATGATGAGAAACTTATGTGAATCACTGAATACAATTTATATTAAAAACTATTGAAAATATACATACCCATTTAGGTATTTTTATGTTTTAAAAATTTCAATTTCGTGTAGGGACAACATAATATTGAAATCATGAGGGATCAATGTTCAATATCAATACTCAAGGGATTAATATTTGTCTAGCATATCTTCCCATTATAATCTGATGAAAGGTCTGCATTAAGATAGGAATTATATACCATATCAATGATGAAAATACTAAAAATAGATAATAGCATTCCAACTAATCAATTAAAAGAAAATGAACTCTGTGTCTCTCAGTCGTAAAACAATGTTATCTGGAATGTATTCCTTTCATCTTAAACAGATCTTGGAAGTAGAAACTAGGTATCAGCGTGAAAAATGAAAACATTGCTTTCGTGACGGTTTTTCAAATTTAGTTTTTAAAACTTTTCATAAAATCAGTAAAAGTATATAAAGAGTATGTGTAAAGAGCTTTATTTCATTGACTTCTGGCAATAGCAAAGGTCTGTCCCCATGAAGGTAAACTGTCTTACTTCTCCCTTTCCTCTTTTTCTACTCCTTGAACATTTGAATTGTTCGTAACGAAATATATTAATAAGCAGGAACTAAAATATATCGTATAATTAAAATCATTTTATTCAACTATACTAGTTAAACATACCATTACTAGCTTTGACATTAATTTCTTTACTACTTATTTCAAATTCACAAAAGCAAATTTAATTTTTCATTAAGTTTGGATTTTAGTCTGGTTTCTGACTAAATGTGATATTAAAATATATTTGCTTATAAATTTAGATGCAAGGAATTTAAAAGATCAATTTTTTTCCTTATTTTAATTGTACAACTTTAAATAGGAATGGTAAACCGAGTTTGAAATCTAGCGTAAGCAATATTTTTGGCGTAAAGGCGGCGTTTAAAAATATCTTTTTATACTTCTCAAAATTACTTCAAAACAATGAATTATGTTGAATTTTATAACAATCAAAGACTTAAAGATATTTTCTGAAGTAACTAAATGGACTAAGGTTTTAATACATAACAATTAAGTATGATTTTCCAAACAAACTACAATCTTGTTGCCTTTGAAAGCTGCCAATCTTAAAACAGAATTGAGCAAAAAATTAGTAATCTCTCTCTCTCTCTCTCTCTCTCTCTCTCTCTTTAGGAAAGGTCAAAACTTTTTGGGTTTTTTTTTTTTTATAATTTAGTATCTTTATAAAACTACTTTACACTTTTTGAAAATAAGAAAATTTTAAATATAACTAATGTTCCCTAAGATATTTTTCTGTAAAAAGAAAAGACATAAATCTTTTGAAATATAAGTGATTGGAAACAGTAATTTTTTTATTCTTAATGCCAAGAAAAACGATATTGACCTGACTTTGCTTCTAAAATAAAAAAAAAAATTGTCAAGTTTAATCTTATTGTTACCATCGCTTGGTGCTCTTGTTTCCTTGAATTTAAAAAAATCATTTTACAGTAAAATAAATATGAGAAGAATCCATCTTAAAAATTATTTGAAGTTTGTATGGTTGTTTGCAACTTGTCTAAACTCCTTTTCAATGGACAAAAATATTTTTATAGATTATACAAGCATGCACTTTAGGGTAATATAATTTTGAAAAAAGACCCTCTCAGTAGACTAAAACTGCTGATTATCTCCAATATTCATTGGTTGATTACATTTGAGTAAACATACGACATTGAGAAACATTTACAAACTTTTATACTTTGGATAGTAAAATAATTTTGCTGTTTCTCTCATGTGGCATATTTCGCTTTTTAATTTTGTTTTTATATGTCTCAACTTATTCTTCCCTTAAAAGATACTTTGTAATTAAAAATTTCCAGATTTAAAATCGCAATTTCTTTTTATTTTGCATTATTAGCGATGTTTTGGTATTACCAGTTATGTTCTGTAACAAAATTTATATCGATAAAAACGATAGGATCTTCATTATGAATCCATGGAAAATTATTTAAGCCTTCATAAATGGTAAGTATATAACATCATAGGTACAGTCACCTTTGATTAGATTTTCTCAGAAGTAGCAATGCCGACCAGTAATACGGAGCACCGTCCAAATTATCATCCAGTAATATTATACATTTATTGTTTGAATTCGAGGACAATGTGCGTTTTTTGCGGACCCAAGAACCAAACTGTTTGCCTGAGGCCGTTGGGCCGAAGGTAAACATTTTTTTCCGAGGGGTCGACAAAACGCATTATGCCCAAGAATACACAGTCAATAAATGTTTTATAATACCTTTAACCAATGACATGAAAAATGTGTACATGCACTAGGTGACTTTCTTTGCTTAAAGGTTGATTTAAAAAATTTATTTGATGAGACATAATGTAATATGATTCAGGACTACTGAGGATCCCTTTAATCAGAATTGACTACTCTTTTGTACCAAGAAGAAAGTAGTAATGTCAAGGACACAGCTTTCATGTACAGTCATAATTAATATTATATCAGTTAGGATGTCTAGATGGAGTTCCAGTTGGAGGTGTACTAGGTGGAGTTCCCTTTGGAGTTGCTGGAGGACGTCCAGATGGAGTTTCAATTGGAGGTGTTCTCGGGGGAGTTCCTTTTGGAGTTGTTGGAGGAGATCCAGTTGTTCGAGTTGGAGGTGTTCTAGTTGAAGCTCTTTTTGGAGTTTTTGGAGTAATAGGTGGTCTTCCTATCGGAGTTGTTGGAGGAGATCCAGATGAAGTCCCAGTTGGAGGTTTACTAGATGGAGTACCTTTTGGAGTTGTTGGTGGAGGTCCAGATGGAGTTCCAGTTGGAGGTGTAGTAGGAGGAGTTCCTTTTGGAGTTGTTTGAGGAAGACCAGATGGAGTTCCAGTTGAAGGCGTACTCCGAGATGTTGCTTTTGGAGTTGTTGAAGGAAGTCCTGATGGAGTTCCAGTTGGAGGTGTACTTGTTGGAGTTCCTTTCGGAGTTGTGGGAGTTGGTTTAGATGGAGTTCCAGTTAGAGGTGTTCTAGGTGGAGTTCCCTTTGGAGTTGATAGAGAAGGTCCAGATGTAGATCTAGTTGAAGGCATACTCAGACGAGTACCTTTTGGAAATGTTAAAGGAAAGCCATCTGGAGTTCCAGTTGTAGTTGTACTCGGAAAATTTCTTTTTGGAGTTGTGGAAGGAGATTGCGAAGGAGTTCCACTTGGTAGTGTTCTAGTTGAAGTTCCTTTTGGAGTTTTTGGAGTACTAGTTGGAATTCCTTTTAGAGTTGTTGAAGGAGATCCAGATGGAGTTCCAGTTGAAGGTGTACTCGGAGGAGTTCCCTTTGGAGTAATGGGAGTTGGTACATATGGAGTTCCAGTTGGTGGTATACTAGATGGACTTCCTTTTGGATTTGTAGGACGAGGTCCTGATGGAGTTCCAGTTGAAGATTTACTAGTTGAAGTTCCTTTGGGAGTTATTGGAGTACTAGGTGGAGTTCCTTTCGGAGTTGCTGGAGGAGGCCGAGACGAAGTTCCAGATGGAGATGTGCCAGGTTGAGTTCCTTTTTGAGTTGTTAGTCGAGGACCAGATGAAGTTCCAGTTTGAGGTGTTCTAGTTGAAGCTCCTTTTGGAATTGTTGAAGGAGGTCCAGATGGGGTTCTAGTTCGAGGTGTTCTAGTTGAAGTTCCTTTTGGAGTTTGTGGAGAACTCGGTGGAGTTCTTTTTAGAGTTGTTTGAGGAGGTCCAAATGGAGTTCCAGTTGAAGGTGTACTCGGAGGAGTTCCTTTTAGAGTTGTTGAAGGAGGTCCTGATGGAGTTCCTTTTGGAAGTGTACTTGGTAGAGTTCCTTTCGGATTTGTGGGAGTTGGTCCAGTTGGAGTTCCAGTTGGAGGTGAACTAGTTTGAGTTCCTTTTGGAGTTGGTGGAGGTCCTGATGGAGTCCCAGTTGGAGGTGTACTAGGTCGAGTTACTTTCAGAGTTGTGGGAGTTGGTCCAGATGGAGTTCCAGTTGCAGATGTACTAGCTGGAGTTCCTTTTATAGTTGTTGAAGGAGGTCCAGATGGAGTTCCAGTTGTAGGTGTACTAAGTGGAGTTCCATTTGGAGTTGTTGAAGGAGATTCTGAAGGAGTCCCAGTTGGAGGTGTACTAGGTGGAGTTCCTTTTGGAGTTGTTTGAGGAGGTCCAGATGGAGTTCCAGTTGAAGGTGTATTCGGAGGAGTTTCTTTTAGTGTTGTTGAATGAGGTCCTGATGGAGTTCCTTTTGGAGGTGTACTAGTTGGAGTTCCTTTCGGAGTTGTGGGAGTTGGTTTAGATGGAGTTCCAGTTGGAGGTGAACTAGTTTGAGTTCCTTTTGGGGTTGGTGGAGGTCCTGATGGAGTCCCAGTTGGAGGTGTACTAGGTCGAGTTCCTCTTGGAGTTGTTGGTGGAGGTCCAGATGGAGTTCCAGTTGGAGGTGTACTAGGTGGAATTCCTGTTGGAGTTATTGAAGGAGGTTCAGATGGAGCCCCAGTTGCAGGTGTAATAGGCAGAGTTCCTTTCGGAGTTGTGGGAGTTGGTCCAGATGGAGTTCCAGTGTGAGGTGTACTAGGTGGGGTTCCTTTTGGAGTTGTTAGTTGAGGTCGAGATGAAGTTCCAGTTGGAGGTGTACTATGTGGAGTTCCTTTTGGAGTTGTTTGAGGAGGTCCTGATGGAGTTGTTTTTAGAGTTGTACTAGGTGGAATTCCTGTTGTAGTTGCTGGAAGAGGATCAGATTAAGTTCCAGGTGAAGATGTACCAAGTGGAGTACCTGTTTGAGTTGTTGGACGAGTTGTTGCAGGTTTAGTTGTTCGGGGACTTTCTTGTGTAGTTGTTCCAGACGGATTGCAAAGCTTGTACTCTCTGCAAGTGCAGCACTGAGGGAGATGCAATCGTACCCGTTGAAAGCGTTCGTCATTTAGACAGAAAATCCAGGCCTCAAAGGTGCGGTATCGATCCGGCAAGCAAGCACTTTTTTCATCTAAGCCATTTGTCCAGCCAGAACAGTCTCTATTGTGTATCTATACTACTTTATTAAAATAATAGACTCGAATTTTTGGCCTTTAATACCGATAAATCGGAAGAGTACCGTCTTTTATTTGATATATTTTAAACATCATTGGTACTTGAAGATTACCAATTTGTTTTTATTTTTTCTCAATTAAGCTTCGCTAATTAATAATCAACGAAAATTCCTCAAAAAATTCCGGAAATCATCTGGATTTTTGGATTTTACAATCTTGCGCTTGCGCATTACATTCACGCTAAATCACGGTGTTCAAATCAAGTTGTCGTTCGTTTCCCTCTTGAGCCGTTGGTCGAGAGTGTGTTCAAATCAGAGAAGACAAAAGTATATACTACATGTAAGTAGATATATATTTGTTATTGTATAATTTCTCTAATAAGAAATTATTAATGTATATGAACAGAATATATAGCAAATTTCCAATGAAAATTTACACGTATTTGTCATAGGCGTCGGAACCGGGGGGGGGGGGGGGGGGGCTTAGACCTCCCCCTCACTTTTTTTGCAAAGATAGGCATAATATAGGCATTGAAAACTGGGGCTTACCTTTTTTCTTTGGTTTGGTCCCCCCCCCCCACACTTTCAAATAGCCACCCCACTTTCAATTTGCTTCTGACGTCTATATGTTTGTATTATCGTAATCGTTTCTGAGTTTATATCCATACAAATGTGATATTGTGGCCACGTGGGTAATCATTCGCCATCTCGGAGACACATTTATTATATGTTATTTATATCTCTGGTCATCTCAACGGAGGCAAAAAGCTCATGATCGTAGGAGCAACATTAATGTAACTACCCGATTTATTTTATCCCTCCTTTCTTTTATGCTTTTTTGAGGGGAACTGAAGGGGGGGTTACAACTCCAGTTAGAATCACATCTTAGTGAAGTAGGCATTCTTTTTCCGCCAAAAATTACAATAACTACTATATAAAAATTATAGACTCGAATTTTTGGCCTTTAATACCGATAAATCGGAAGAATACTGTCTTTTGTTTTATGTATTTTAAACATCATTGGTACTTGAAGATTACCAATTTGTTTTTATTTTTTCTCAATTAAGCTTCTATTTTTATTACTTTTTCTATGTACCAATTCAAGGATATTACATTAATTTTTATCAAAACAGACAGTCTTTTACAGATTATATACCTGTCTATTACCTGTGTATATATAAAGTATACGTATTAGCAGTGCTTAACTCTTTTATTGTTGAGGTCATATTTTGAAAAAGTTGAGACCTGCAGTGTTAAAATTGTTACAAAAATTTTTACACCTTTACTTAAATAACTGATTGTGTAAAAATACCAGCTTAGCACAATTCTTCATTTTCATTACTTTGCTTGATATGTATCAGCAGTGTGCTCAACTCTTTGCTGTTGTCATATTTTCAACGAACATCGATCCATAATTTCTTTTATTAAATTTGTTTGGAAAGGTGAAATTTATGTAAGCTCCGGCGTGATTCGAACTCAGGACTTGATTTATAGCTAACTGGTGGTCAAACCCATTCTGCGCTACGCCGTTACGCAACAATTTTAAAAAAACAAAAACAAAACAAAACAAACACACAAAAAAAAAACAGAATTATATTAACATTCATTGTATATTTCAAAAATACCTTACAATATGAATGTGTCGATGTATCTATTTTGTAAATGTCCGATATGCACATGGATGCATTCATAACAATGTCAACCCGTGCACGCACGGGTCAAAATCTAGTATATTTAATTATAAAGAATTATAACAAAAATCAATCTCATACAATGGTCAAGTTAAATGGTAGCCTTATTAATAAGATCATTTTATTATGTTCTAACAATGCGAAGTATATCTAACCTACTTACTTCTTTATCTCACAGTTTGCATAAGTAATACATTGCCATTCTGGTTTCACAATCCAACACTGTTTATTTCTTATCCTTTTCGCATATAAGAACGTATTTGGACACGTGTTTTCTAGTCCAATGTTTGATGTTTTGCTGAAAGATATTTTTCTTCTCAGATTAACATAGAATAAGGTTGAAGAGAAGCACTACATACAATGAATAAATCTACAGACATTTTTCGAGACATAATTATAACAGTTTGTGATTAGAAAATAATACACTACCTTTGGTCACAGTTATTGGATCTTCTTATCAATCCCTCTATTTTCGGGTACCATTTTAAAGCATGATTAATTTTCTTCCTAAAATTATACTATTCCAAATAGTAGTTTTGACTATGATGTGATCAAACAGAGACATATATAGCACAGATTTGCAACTCTGTTAAATAACAGGTTTATTTTTGAAAATTTGTGACTGTCAGCATTATTTTTAAACGTACTCCTTACTGGTTTTATATCTTGATGTAAAGCTTAATTAATATTAATATTATTATACATGAGCGTACAATTTTGAAAGTATTAAAAGAATACATTGAGTTAAAAACGTCAATTATGCAAATTAAAGAGGTCAATAATCGAAAGGTGGGGAAATCTCGGAGATATGACCACCGACCACAGGTCATCTTCAGCTTTTTTTTCAAATTCTTGCTTCGTTATTGTATTATAATGAATAAAACTGTAAATGTAACATTCTAATTAATTTGTATTAAAAGGTTTTACTTCGTTATACGGTACGTGATGATCATTTTTTTTTTTTTTTAGATTTTGGTAATTTAAACAGTGCGATATTTGAAAAAAAAAAAATAAACAATAGGGCACCCTAGATTTTGCGTAGGTTTCAACTTCTTGCTGTACCAAATTTTGTTCATACACTACTACAAAACCCTTATTTTGTCGCCCGCGTGGCGCAGTGGTTAGAGCGTCTACTCTAGAGTCGCGAAGTAAGGAGTTGATCCTTACGTCGCGGGTTCAATCCCACTGTGGGACGTGGAGATCGGTCCTTCGGATGAGACCGTATAAACCGAGGTCCCGTGTCGCAGTACGTGCTGGCACGAAAAAGATCCCTCACTGCTCAGTGGCCGTAAGTGCCGAATATAGGACAAAATTTGATTCTAGAGCAGACGCAGGCGACTAATAAAGATTTAAAATGCAATAAAGGTTTAAAATGCAATGACACCACAGTACTACCTGACGTATTGAGGTGGACACTGGTTAGTGACAGAGAGGTGTGGAGCAGTTATTTCTTTGTCCCAGCATTTCTTTGTTTTGTCATATTTGGCACTACCGTATCTTATGTCATCCTTTTTGCTAATTTTAGAGGCAATGATGCCCAGAAATAATGTTGTAATGAAGAAACACACGTACTGGAATAGACGTTAAATCTTGTGAAAACAAATAACATGTACATATTATAAAATATTGTAGACAAGTTGATAAGTCTTACCTGCATTATTTTTTCTCGTCCCCCGATGGTATACGCCTCTGAATTTTAACATAGTTTAAGCTGGGTATATATAGGTTTGAAATTGTCACGTGCCGGAGTAAAAGTTATATTTTAATTTTGAAATGTTTTAATCAATATTGCACATCGTTCGATTGAGAAGCAGTGAGACATGCTCCAAGATTTTATTTTATCTGTTAAGTGGAGTGACACTTGAGAAACATTCACCGTAGTTTATCTGACCATCTTGTTTTATTCAAGTTCGCCATTTCGAACCCTGTATTATTCAAAATACAAGTGTGTGATGGATGTCCTGGAGTCTTTAAAACGTACACGGTATATTCACTGACTCTTTAATGAACCTTCAAACGATTGCAAAACATTGTTCATCTGATATATACAGTTTTCGATTTTTAAACTTTGGTTTAAAACTCTAACTATAGTTAATGAATGTTAATTATAATTTACGGTTGTAAACTATAGTTTACAGGTATTTTAGGTGCCAAATCCACAATTTTTATAACTGTAGTTTTACATTGAAGAAACACAGTTTAACATTAGAATCTCTGATTTTGTATCGGAGGTACACAATTTTCTGTGAAACTATATTGCACGACTCTAAGCTATAGTTTACGATCAGAACTTAAGTTAAAAATCGTTTTTGTTCGTTAATCATAGATACGGTTAATCCTAGTTTCAACATCATAAGATTTTGCTATACAACGATTATTGTCATTCGTTGTTATAAATATAGTATTGTTGGCATTAAAAGTAAATTATCTATCATATTTTAGCAAATCTAATTGGAAAATTTAAAAATGCCGATCAATTATTGATTAAAATTTATTTCTATTTTAAAGAGATAGAAAAAGATAGAAGAAATTTAATCAGATTTGGGGTAAATCACCGACATTTATCCTGCCACCTTTCCAACCCAGACAAAGCTGGTATCAAACGATTCACTGAAAGCTGGACTTATCAAAGATCATCAAGAAGAGAAACTCATTCTGATTATGAAATATGGAGATAACGAACAGTATTCCAGCTCAAAGTCCATTAAAACAATTAAAATTGGGAGCAGAGCAAACACGGACCTCCAATAACATCAGAGGTGGGATCAGGTGTCATTAAGGAGTGCATCTGAAGATGATTGGCAAGCAAAATGCCTATTGTGCAACATTTGACAAAGTGAAAAAAAAAATCTCAATTATTTCAAAATTTTCTATATTCCATTTAACATTATTAAGGTTTACATTATATTAAATCTCTACAAATGGCAAAAATCTCACAAAGATTGAAATTATTCGTCAATGAAAAAGCTTACATGATGCAGGATTTTTTAATACAGTATAGAACTTACGGCAAAGACACGCATTTTGTATTGCTTCTTGCGATTGGTTCCGCAAGATTTTGAATTGAAAACTGATAACAGATAACCTGTGTTTCGATTCATCAACGATATTTGACTACTCTTGACAATATTTACGAGTTTATATCATAGTTTATGGTGATAAACTATGATTGACAAATGTGAATCATAGTTTATGATGATAAACTATGATTGACAAATGTCAATTATAGTTTATCTCTTAATAATATAGTTTACGATCATGAATTATAGTCTACGGCTGTTAAATATAGTTTATGAGTATACATGACAATTTACTATAGTTTACGATCGAAAAAATTTGACGAATGTGAAACATACATATATAGTTTATCTGATAAATGCAGTTTCGTGAAACTATGATTAGCATCTCTTAACTATGATTAACGAAATAAATTAAAGATTAATTAGAATCTACATTTATCAGCATATTAATCTATTGTTAACGTTTATTTAAAGACAGATAAACGTAGATTAGAATTCGTACACTATAGCTTACAACCGATAAATATAGTTTTACAAAACTAAAGTTAATGAATCGCTACTTATAATTTAAGGTTCGTAAACTATAGTTTACAATCGACAGACCTAGTTTATCAACTGTTAAACTATGTTTTTTTTTTCTCCAATTTTTGTAAATTGGGCGTGTCAAAGTGATCTAGACCTTCAGGAAAATAAAATATTGGGGAAAAACTAAATTAAAAGACATCAGGATACATACTTCTGTAAAATAAAGAAACAAAAATAAATGAAATAATGATAAAAAGGGTTTTTATAAATGCATATACACGGAAAGGCTGGTTGTGAAGTATAAACATGACGATCTTAAATTCTTGTTCAAAAAAAGGTTTTTCTGACTTTATTATCCGAATCAGAGCATAAGTTCACGAGCAAATCTTAAAAGTATATATTTAGTTCCGCATATTCATTTCATTAAGTTGGTTTCTTTACACAAAATTGATGATTTTCAAATTTTGACCAATCCTAATTGAAATTAAGCTGATCCCAACCACAATTATATGAAATGCAAATACATGTATATACAATAACAATTTCACAATAATAGAAAGTTGACTGTTATATGGTTTACAGATTATTTGAAATTTTCAATAAAATGGATTTCTCAGTGGCAACTGCACGAGATGGGCAGTCATTTCACTTTTGTGTTGGTCTTGATTGGGATCGGTTTTATTTCAATCGCGATTGAAATTTGAAAATTGGCCAGTTTTCCTAGACTGCAAAATTTCATTTCATTTCATTTTTTTTTTTTTTTTTTTTTTTTTTTTTTTGAAAATATGATTGTTTTAAAAAAATAATCTAGCTATTCTGGGTGTGACTTGTTTTATATTTTTAAGATTTTATCAATGAAATATATGGAGATAACGAACAGTATTCAAGCTCAAAAGTCCATTATACAATACAAAATAGGAGCAGAGCAAACACGGACCTCCAAACATCAGAGGTGGGATCAGGTGCCATGGAGGAGTGAGCATCCCCCGCCGACCGGTCACACCCGTCGTGTGCTCCTTGTCATGATCGGGAAATAACGGAAAAATCCGTCGACAATTCAGTGTGTAAACAAATATTAACAAATTATGTGCTTTATTTTATAAATATTTTTTATTGAAGAAAAAAATCAAATTGCCTATCCGACTTTCTTGTTGGGACCATGCATTTAAAAGATGTCTTAAAATTCATGAAATAAAATTTTGGTGTAGTATTCCTCCTCAAAATGAGGATGGCCACTGAGGAATAGGTTGATGTTGATGAAGAGATATAATTAATAGTTTGGTCTAAAGTAAGCATTTTGCAAATTTTATCAAATTTTGAAACTGCACAACAAATGGAATTTCTACATGGCCAAGTCGATCTTAAAAAATTTTAAGATCCCAATCTAGTGTCAAACTGTCGAAGTACTGGTAAAGTTTAGTTATCAAAACAGTCAAATCTAAAAGAGAAATATAAGTTTAATGGTGATATAAATGAAATTATGTTAATGTAACCTTCTTCTTTAAGTACATGTACTTTTCTTCCCATTGCAAATTGCACTGAATAACGTCGTCTGTCATGAATGGTTTCAAGATTTATCTTAATTGTTTTATAACATTAAGGGGGATTATTTTGAATTAATAAGTATCTATTATCGCTGTATTTAAAAGTGTGTACTAAGTTCTGTCTGAAGATCATGGGTCAATGTTATTTCAAAAAAGTAGAAAAATTTTTTTTTTTTGTTTGAACAACATTTCCGCTACATATTTATCTGAAACAGTGTAAAAAATGTTTGTAGTTTTAGGCTTTACATTGACCTTGACTGGTCGGCAGGAAATGCTCACTCATCCATGTCACCTGATCCCACCTCTGATGTTTTAGAGGTCCATGTTTGTTCGATCTGTTCCTGATTCGTATTGTTGAAATAGACTTTTGAGCTTGAATACTGTTCGTTATCTCCATATATTTCATTGATGTAAAAATACTGCTGTGCTTGCATAACTGAAAATCTGGTAATTGGCAGGTAACTATCAGAGTATTTTAAATGAGTAAATATATATTTAAAAAACGTAAAGTTAAATCTGCCCAAAGAAAAATACTGTCCTTAACTTTTCAAAAATTTTATGTGCAAAAAAGTAAACTTTGTATGGAATTACATATACGACAGCCAACTGCTCACTTCTTACTGCTCACTGCTTAATGCCAACTGCCACTGCTTATAGATGATATTGCCTGTTTTGTTACCTTTACTATCTTTAATACGCATGCTTGAATAAACCCTATGCAAGAATATTACAATAATAACAAAAATTGGATTCAGGAATTCTTAAACTGCGAGGGCGAGGAAGGAATAACTAGGGGGAAGGAGTATTTTTTTTTTCTTATACCAAAACATCTAACTCCCACATTTCCGTGCAGACAAATGATTCAATAGTTTTTTTTTTTTTTGACGGGGGAAAGATTAAAGACTTATATAACGTCAGAAAAGGGGGGAACTTTTAGTAGGATCCTAGGCAACATTTGTTAGTATATGCATTTATACCAGAAATACCAATGAAAAATCCTAATACAAGGATTAATCTTACTATATGTAAAACAGTTGATCTTAGACAAGGAAGCAGTTTCCGTGCGTTGAAAGGGGGGGGGGCATTCTATCAGAAATCCCCTGGCAAGTAATAATAAAGGTCACTAGGCGTCATTATTGAGGGAGAACTACTGTATAGTAAATATGTTGGCAAATTTTTGGGGACCCCCCCCCCCCCCCAACCACCACTACCAATGTTTATACTCTAACTTTAGACATTTAATTTAAACTATTTAAATAGGACACATAAAAAAATTTGCAAATACGTGTACCATCAATGGGTAAAAATAAACACTAAAAGATTTACCCCATATAGGCAAATGTTATGTTATCATCTATCTAATTTTTTGCCTGCAAGGAAATGTGGAAATTAAATGTATTGTTTTTAAGAGGAAATGCTCTCTTTCTCAGATTTAATCCTTCCTCGCCTTCACAGTTTAAATATTCCTAAATCCGCCAATTGTTGTTATTGTAAGATTTACGCACGCTAACTCTCGATTCCCACTTACATTTTACATCCATTTAATTCAATATAAATGGCAATTTGTTCCTTAAAACTCGTTTGATTGCAAAGAAATATTCATAAGTAATGGATTAATGATTTTAAAAACCAATGTCAAAAAGTTAATTGTTCTTATTTACAACCCTTTCATAAGGGGGTAGAAAATTTTATCAATTGAAATCAGGCTTTAAAACATCACCAGATTTTCAAATACACATGGAAATGGATTCGTGACTCATAAATATCTCCATATGTTTAACTTATGTAAAATTCAAAATATCAGAAAGATAAATTGCATTTCTTAAATTTATTTTCTCATTTGAAATTGGTAATAAAATGACTATTTTCCTGTTTTTAGTCTGTAAACATATCCCCCCCCCCCCCGTGAAACAACAAAACCTTCGGTATGAAATTGTGAAATAATAATTCATAATATCCGTAAAAAGAAATTATTGTTTCACGGTGGAGGGGAGGAGATGTTTTGAAAATAATTTTCCGTTGATTTCTGTAGTGAAAAACACAAGTTTTACCAAAGTGTTAACATATGAAAATTGACTGGGAGGTATATGTAGTTGGCAGAACAATACTGTCGTTCGCCATTCATCTCTTTGCTATCATAGGATTTATAAGATTTATTCAAGCATGCGAATTTAAGATATTAAGATAAAAAAAAAAATAGGCAATAGATATCATGTATAAACAGTTGGAATTGGCAGTAAGCAGTGAGCAGTTGGATGTAAGCAGTGAGCAGTTGGCAGTAAGCAGTGTGCAGTGAGCAGTTGGCAGTAAGCAGTTGGCTGTCGTATATGGAATTCCATAACTTTGTCTATCAAAGTGGGTTTTTTTTTCTTGTACATGTGAGATTTATTTTAGGTCTAATTTTTGTATATATGCGTATTGCACATTGTACTAATATCGCAAATTTTTATCATCTCTAGAGGCGAGGATACATCGAATATGACTTATGAGGGGCACTTAACGATATATTTAGCTAGATCAATACATTCCTGCTATTCAAAATATGGTGAAATATTATAGACGTGAAACTTGGAAAATATTTACACAATTGTAAACAAACAATTTCTTCAAACTTTACATATTTCAAATTCATTTTATTCTTTAGTTATAAATTCAATGAATTGATGCATTTCTGTCTTCATCCTTTCATATCTTCCACTTTTTGACCTTATTTTTTATACGAAAAAGTGTAACCAAGCTTAAATAGAATAAATGAATAGACAAAATCTATAAACTGAAAATGTAACTTAATTCATTTCTAAGATGCTCTTAAAAACCGTCGTCATTGAATGGTTACATGATGCTGTTGTAGATATGACTTACTTTCAAAAGGTAATTGCGTTGAATCAATAAGACTTAGTATCCTTTATTACAATCACACAGATATGTACGTAATTCTACCTAAAGTTTGTTTGTCACTGATATATAAAGACATCATGCATTTAGAAAAAAAAATTAAAATTTTACGCCTGTATGAAAATATGCCCTCTACATATTCATCTGAAATGTACACAGATAAAAAAAAAAGGAACTCAGCCTCTCGGTAATTTGAAATCCTATCTATAACATAGAAAAATTGAGTGGTTTCTTGATATCATTTATATAACAACAAGAAATAATGAAGTACTAGCTGTGAACATTTCGACATGTGGCGACTAAAGGAACTATGAATTTTCATATTTACTCTAGGGGCCAATTGGTGGTTGAAAATGATGCACAAAATCCTGTGCTCAGTGCATTTTGTTCTGTGCAACATGAATATACTAGTATTATGGAATCTCAACCATTTTTATTCCCGCACTTTCTAAAGAAATTTCGAGTATATTGTTTTCCTGGTTCGTCCGTCCGTCTGTCGGGACTTACTTTGTCCTCAAACTAGTCTTGCATTTTTAGCAATATTTATTCATAATCATCTTTTAAAGTATGATTGGTGGTGCTCCTAGCATGTGCAAAAGCATTTTGAAAATTTCAATTTCATTCTGGGGGGAGAAATGGGGGTCAAAATCGACACTTTTCTACAAAAACCTGCTTCCATGAACTCTTCGTACATTTTTTGCAGTAGCCCATTCATATTTTAATATCATTAGGAGTGTCAGGTAGATGTGCAATAAGAGATTTTAAATTTTGATTTTCACCTTGGGGGCAATTAGGGGTCAAAAAAGACTCTTTTTTTCCTAAATAAACCTGGTTCCCTGAACTACCCTTACATTTTATACAGTAGCCAAATCATCAATTGAAATATGATTGTGGTGTCTTGAAGATGTGCAATAACGTTTCGGAATTTTCTTTTTCACCCTGGAGACCAAATGGGAGTCAAAAAATGACTTTAAAAACAAACAAAAGAACTGTTCCCTGAACCCCTTCGCAGTAGCCCATTCATATTTTGAAATTAGTATTGATGACAGAATTTGGTATAAATATTTACTGTAAATTTTATTCTTATTGTGGCTTTTTCCCTGATTACCCAGATATGTAAGAGAGTATAGTTAGAGTATGTTGGTCAATAGATTTACCTATCTATCTACATATATATCTAAAAGTCGGTCTAAAAAATTCGGCTAAATGATTCAATTGGATAAAATTGTTTAACTTTAAAATATTTTGCTCGCATAGTTTTCAGTAAAAAATCATCATTATGTTTTTAAGAGCTATCATAAAATTTTTGATACATTAAGGTATTCTATCTCTGATTAATAGTCTCAGATTCAATGAAGTTAAATACAGGCACATAACATGCAGATATAAACTTGTTGAATACTCGGTACATTTAGACAATGTTCCCAATTATCACTTTGCCTTAGTATGTATATAAGAGTTGGATGTGTCCTAATTTGTGACCATGGCCTGTCCTTGAAGATATATCTCGCTCTGTTTTCAATTTAATATTTTTTTTTAATCTACCTGGTAGAATAATTTCTTTTTCAATTGTAATTCTATTCCTAATGTTTTCCGCCACAGCATTTATCGAGATACTTATAGTATTTGAATGCTCGTTTGTTTTTAAATCGCATTTTCCCATAGACCTCAAGGAATACTCTTTTTGCTGTAGATTCAGAATAATTCATACGTCGCAACGATGCCCCCCCCCCCCTTTGTGTAGGGTCTACTGGTTCTTGGGAAGAAGATTTTTATGACCTTGAGCACAAAATTTTCACTTCATGTTTATCTTTAAATTCTCCCCTTGAAAGAGACTTTTACCGTCGCCCAGGCCTGAATGCCTTATTGCAAGTCTGGTTGAATATTTGACATCAGAAGTTATTATTGAGGGGGCACAAGCATATATAGCCCTGTTTTCTATAGTATTCTATACATCGGCAAAATTACTATCCACTCCCACCCCCAGCCCGCGGTTCCTACGTCGATCCATGTTTGACATGCTTTTTTTTTCATTACGTTGTATAAATTAATTTTTCACAAGAATCTTAGAACATGTAGAGATATTTTAAGCAGTGTGATCTAAAAGAAGTGATACAGACTTAATGATGCATTCGATATAATATATATTTGCCGTCAGTCTGATTAAAACCAGCCCCCTTCTCCTTTCACTCGTCCTCACGAGTGAAAGGAGAAGGGGGGCTGGTTTTAATCAGACTGATTTGCCGTGAAAAAAATGTCAACAAACACACGTGGGAATCATTACTCGGAACACCTCGAGTCACAGGTCGACTGATAACCGAAGGGAAAAAAGGATTGTCCAGTAAATGTTGAGATTTGCTGTACGCTGTGTAGTTTTACGGTGTCCATCAGTCGTGATGTCGTCAGCAAAATACTCCGATGTTGCAGGTAAGCCACCAGCTGACCAATATGGTAAACAAACCATTTCGAATTTCCTCTGTTGAGAGAAATTAATTACGTAAACATGTCCATCTTGACATTTGTTTGACAGGGAAGCTTGAACATGTCTTGAATTTTGAATTTTGATTATACATCCTCACTGAAATTTCGTTATATTGAATTTATATAAAAACTTAAACATTAAATGGAAGTTTGATAAAGGGTCGTTATCATAACTTAATGCTTTCAAATTGCGCATTACAATATTGCTTGCTCTCGATGTTAAGAGAGAGAGAGAGATGAAAATAATTATAGACAAACTGAAACCCAAATCCTTAGATTTATTTTCAAAGTGAAGAAGGTGGGTCTATCTTACCAAAATAAAAATTGTATGAATTTGCATTACCAGATGTAGAACATATATTGTGAGACTTTATAAATTTATAACATTCGCCCAGGTGAGCTTTGTATTCTTTGGTTACCTATGCCTGGAACTGGGAAAGGGGCCTTTTAGCAATCCCCAACTACAGACAATCAGGAACAATGCAATTTATCTCTTTATGTCATATGGTATACAGTGAAATTTTTGTCCCGTTTTATTTTCACCCCTTTTGCCCTACACACAAGTGGGCAAATTTAAAACAGGGCAAATTCAAAAATCACAGTAGGCCCTATAATTTGTTAAACAGAATTGTGACTGGGCACATTAAAACAGAGCAAAATTGTTTGCAAGTATGAAAGGACGAAAATAGCACGGGGCGTAAATAACCCTGTATACAGTATATAATATTCATTTGATTTTCTAGAAATGAGGACACCGTACAGGAGCAGCAATGATATTTTTGATGTCAACAATCTCGTATCCAAAAACCCAATTAAGCAATTTGAAGCCTGGTTCAACGAAGCCAAAGATGTTCCACATGTAGGAGAGGCTAATGCAATGGCACTTGCAACAGCCACCAAGTAGGTTAAAGTTTATTATCCAACCCTAAACATTCAGGTCATTTCGTTAATGCTGTAAATAAATTTATGTCAAACCTCGTTATCTCGAACTCGATGGTACTGAGAAAAAACTTCAAGATGTCCGAGGATTCGAGATATCAGGGGTAAAATACCTAAAAATAAGTGGTTGGTACTTCCAAATCAATTCAACATATCCATGGTATTTGAGATATCAGTGTTCGAAATACCAAAGTTCAACTGTAATTATAAACATATAACTGTGGAATCAAAATTATAGCTTTTATTATTCATGAAAAAAATTACCTTGATCTTTGTAATGTTCATTGAGATGCATACAATAGGGAATTGGCTAACTGATGCAGCATTTTGTTGAACCTTTCATATGGTGCCATTGATTTAAACATTAATTATGTTTAATTGATGTACTTTAAATCTTTATATATTCTACAGAAGTGGGATCCCATCGGTAAGGATGGTATTGATGAAAGGCTACAGTGAAGAAGGTTTTACATTCTACACAAACTATGAAAGTCGTAAAGCTGGAGAACTGGTGAGTCTCCTTTCAATAAAATCCTAATTTCTGTTTTTGATGGACCTTAGTCTCACTGCTTTCCTGATCCACTGTATTATACATACTATATATATATATTATTATACACCTGCTCCAAAGGAGAGGGGGGTATACTTCTTTTACCATTGTGTGTCTGTCAGTTGGTCTGTCTGTCCATAACTGTACAAATTTTCTTCAGTTTTCTCAGCAACTACTCTTTGTAGATGCTTGAAATTTTAGCACACTGTTTGTTTTCGCATGCCATATAGTGGGATTCATTTTTGTACGAATCCCATATTGACTTCCTGTTTATCCCTGTGTCTCTCCATACCAAATTTTCATCACAGATTTCTCAGAAACTACTCACCACAGATGCTTGAAATTTTAGCACACTCTTTGTTTTGGCATGTCATATGGTGGGCTTCAACTTTCTGTTTATCCATCTGTCTCTCCAGAGCTGCCTGTCTGTAACAAATTTTTGTTGCAGTTTATATCTCAGCAACTACTCATCACAGATGCTTGAAATTTTAGCGCACTCTTTGTTTTAGCATTTCATATGGTGGGCTTCATTTTTGTACAAATCCAATGTCAACTTCCTGTTTATCAGTGCATCTGTCTGTAACAAATTTTTCTGGCAGTTTTCTCAGTAACTACTTATCACAGACGCTTGAAATTTTAGCACACTCCTTGTTTTAGCATGTCATATAGTTGGATTCATTTTTGTATGAATTTGATGTCAACTTCCTGTTTATCCATGCTTTATCTGTCCATACCAAAGAGCAAGAGCCACTTAAGGCCTTTTTTGGCCCTGAGAATTTCTGAAAAATCGAAACTGCTCAGTTTTAGTTGAAAATGCAGTATTTATCACTTGGACCCTTGGTGACCGTGTATCTATTCAACATGATGTAATTTTCTCTCTAATAAATGCATTATGACGTCATAAAATGCACCATTTTTCCCATATCCTGTAAATTCCTTTAAAAATGGCTAAAACGAGAAGTATTTTTTCAATATTTCATATAGAGCACAACCTCAGAGGGTGATAGTCAATTAATTGATATAAGGGCCATTTTATGCGTAAAGTGAACCTAGCTCTTTATGTCACAGTTTTTTCAGCAACTCCTCATCGCAGATGCTTGAAATTTTAGCACAGTTTTTGTTTTGGCATGCCATACGGTGGGATTCATTTTGTACAAATCCAATGTCATATTTCTGTTTATCTGTGTGTCTATCTGTACCAAATTTCCATCCCAGTTTTCTTAATAACTACTCATTGATGTTCACATGAGAGTGTATATTCACATCAGAGCGGGGGGTATTACTAGTGAGAATTGGCTCACAGACTCTTGTACCACATACATGGTTTCGAGTAAATAAACTGAACTGACCTGATCATTTGTTGAAGAATAACATGCATAATAAGTCAATGATTTTGTTTTTGAATATTATGTAAAAAAAATTATCTGATTGCTTTAATTTATAAAAGTTAAATTTTCTTTAAAAAATACAGACACTCTTTCTTGTAATCAATCTATAATATGTAATTGTGCAATGCCATATTGATGGACTTTTTAAAATTTTTAGGAAGAAAATCCAGTTTGCTCTCTCATGTTCTACTGGGATCCATTGAAAAGATCAGTAAGTTTATGTTGAAAGATTTAACTAGTAAACCAATTTCCCATGTACAGAAAAATGCAGTTTAAAGAAATACAAAAGGATAGCCAGAATTTCTTCATTACATGTTATATCCTATACTAATATTGATTACTCGGGTAGTTTTATTCAAAATAGTAAATGTCAGTGAGTTTGGTTGTATCATGATTACAAATTCCTTCTTCTTTAAAAAAGGTTAGAGGCAGTCTTTTGAATTGATTACACTATGTGAAATTGTCTATACAAATATTATTAAACTATAGTTTCAGGTTTTTAGTTCATGTATTCCTTTAATTGTTTTAATCAAGAGAACTAGATAAACTCCTAAATTGTTATTGTAGATCTTTGATATAATATAGTTTAGAAATGATTTGACAAAGACAACAATTTTGATTTTGAAAAAAGAAAAAAAAAATGTGTAGCATCAGTTTATATGTTACAATTTTATTTCAACTTAGGTGCGGGTCGAGGGAACAGTAGAAAAAGTATCGGAAGAAGAATCGTTAAATTATTTTGAACAGCGACCAAGACAAAGTCGACTTGGTGCCATAGTTAGTCACCAGGGCACAATACTGGAGAATAGAGAAGTAATTAATAGTTAGTTACTCTTTATTAGTGTAAACATAGCTGAAAAAATGTAGCCCTCTCCCACCCCTTCCTTTTTTTGGGGGGTGGGGGGGGAGGCTCTCAAGAAAATATCAGATTAAAAAAAAAAATCAGAGAGGGCTACATTATTGTAGCTAGTTTAAACAGTGTACAGTACAATGGAGAGATTATAATAGTTAGTTATCAGTGCATGGTACTGGACAATAGAGAGATTATGATATAGTTACTCATGAATTGTAATTTTTGTAAATTTCAAGGCTTAACTTATCAAAATGTTTTGTGTAGATAGAATATAACTCTCCTGTAGTACATCCTATTCTATCATTTTTTATTGTCAGGTTATCAACAAAAAGTATGAGGAACTTCTGGAAGAATATAAAGATCAAGAGAAAAACATTCCAAAACCAAGTTACTGGTAGGTGTTTTATTATTATACAGAAATCATATGATGAGTTATAGAAAGCAACCATCAGACAAGATGTGAATATAACTTCATTTCTTATTGGTACAGAACAAAAAATATGGTCTATAATTATGATTGGGTACCAGGTTTTCACGTGAAAGAGCACCTGCTAAGTATTACTTGCGGCATCAGACTTTTAGACCACATCCTTGGTGGTCTAAAGTCCACATCTTCAGTCTCAAAATGTTGTTTGAAATATATAAGCCTTGGCTAATGCCTCTGCTTTTATTTTTCAAACATTTCTCGACCTCAGAGGTTATCCTGCAACATTCACAAAAATGTGGACTTTATTTCTTTAAAAAATTTATCATTGTAGGGGAGGGTATATAGTTCGACCAACTATCATGGAGTTCTGGCAGGGACAGACAAACCGTCTCCACGACAGGATCCGATTCCGAAAGCTCAAAAACAATGAGACAATAGACTCTAAGTATACTCATCAGGGCGAAGACGATTGGGTCTTCGAAAGGCTGGCACCTTAATGGGTTCAAGTTTTATAGCCATAGTGCCATGTCTATTTTATGTACCAAGCTTCTGTACAAAACCCCATTTTGCATTAATTTAGTTGGCTGTGGAAAAAATACATTGTACTCTTATTTGAGATATTATTGCTTAATTACCATAAACTGATTTTAAATGCTAGATGACTCAGTAATTTACTGCTAGGGATCATGTATGGAATAGTAGAGATTGCTTAATGGTTAGTATGTGAGGAGTCACTCTTGATTCAGTAGGTCAGAAGTCACTCAATGGTCAGGATGCCATAGGGATTACTCAGTAATCTAATGTGGGGGATTTTTTAATCATCACACATTGGACATTAATTCTGCCTATATTATAGATGAAATTTAACAATATTCCCAATGGCAAGTCATGCCCCCCCCCCCCCCCCCCCCAATTTTTATTTTTAAATCCCATCTTAAACAAGTTATGTATGAGTAACATGAATGTTCCTTTAAAGCATGCCCCCAATCATAAGCTATCTTTGTATCAAGGTTTCCTTATTGAATAGTTTAGCTGCAGATCTGTAGCTGGCATGTATGAAAAAACTGGGAGGGATGACCAGAGAGCTACAGTGCCACTCATAGAAAAAACTGTATATTTATTGCACACAGAAAGTTGCGCTCTGTTCTGGATTAATTTCTCCAAATTCTTACCTCAACTACACAAAAGTTCGATTTCAAGAAATTCCTTAGACATCTATCAGATACTCTTGTTGTTGACATCTGCACAAATGCGTTCGACCGAATTATCTTGCCATCCAAAATGGCAGTATAAATAGGCAAAATCTTTGATGATCTCAATTTCAGCCCCAGGAGGGCTATTAACGATTGTTATAGGAAATGTTTTGTTGTTGAAATAGTAAAACATATGTTAGAAATACACAGTAATATTTTTAGATGATCATGACAGTTTGAAAACATGGAGAATTAAATAAACAAACAGCACACTTTTCTGTGCGCTATTAATATACACTTTTTTTCAATGGATGGCACTGTAGATCTCTAGTCTGTCAATATAATTTTTTTGGAGGGCTACAGTTCTGCAGCTATACAAAGTTATGAACTAAACTTCAATTTATTCTCCATATCCCTATGCCTTGAAGTAATTAAATCCCAAATAGCAAGAAAATGTCATAAAATTTCCCAGTGTCATGGTCATTGGCTATCTTTCCAAAACAGTTTTTTAAATGTCATATTAATACCCTGTTTAGGGATCTCTTAGGCATGGTTAGGATGTAAGGGATCAGTAAGTGACCGGTATGTTTGGGATCACTCGGTGGTCAGTTTGTAGGATCACTCTGTGGACAGTGTTATTGATATCACTCAGTAGTCAGTTTGTTTTGGGAACACTAAGTGTTCAGTGTGTTTGAGATCACTCTGTGGTCATTGTGAATGATGTCACTCAGAGTTCATTATGTTTGGGATCATTTACTGATCTGTGTGTGTTTTAGATCACTCTGTGGTTAGTATGATTGGGATCCCTCTGTAGTCAGTGTGTTTGGGATCACTCAGTGGTCAGTTTGTTTGAGATCACTTAGTGGCCAGTCTTTTTGGGATCACCCTTAGGTCAGTGTGTTAGGGGTCACTTTGTGGTCATTGCATTAAAGATTACTCTAAAGTTACTGGTATTTTGTTAAGTTTATGGAAAATGTTCACTCAAAACTGGAATGTCCAGAGTCACTTATTGTGAAGATGGTTGAACCAAGTGTTTGGAATCATTTGATGATTTGGTCAGTGTAGTAGGAGTTGATGATAAGATTTTGTTTAATTACAAATGATCACACAATGTTCAGACATGTCTTTTATCCAAGTTATAATAGTGCTCATGTATATTTTTTTATTTTAGGAATGATACTGTAAATGCTGTATTGCTTTGTATATCATTATCATATACTCAGTAAATCTGAAAATTCTCCAAACTAAATGCACAGTCTTTATGTTTAAGTATTTGCATATTGCAGTGCAATGGAATGTAAAAATAAATGTGTGTTGATTTTAAAAGCTATGATCTTGTTTTGAGTTTTGTTTATTAAGTTTTAAGAGAAGTGTTCTTAAAAAATTACTATTTCAAGTTTTTTTTCCTAATTTAAATAATCAGAAGTGGACGGCAGTATACATGTAAAAGATTTTTTTTTTCAAACAACAATAATGATAGTAATTGAATTAGATATTAGGATGGGGCTCTATTGATTATTTAGTGAAAATACATTTCTTCTTTGAAAATCTTCTCAGCATTTGGGCATTTAGCAGATAAACTAAGTGTATGTTTATGAGGGGCAAGGGTGCATAATCCAAAGTTATGAGTTTCTTGGCCCCAGGTTAAGGGGTTCTGGTGTTAGGGTGTGACTCTATTATGGATCAGATGATGAAATGCATTAATTCTTTATATATCTTCTTCTCTGCCCTTAGATATTTAGCAGACAAATAATTACAGACAAACTAATTGCATGGGTATGATGAGCAAGGATGCTTCTTCCAAGATCATGAAATCCATAGCCCCTGGGTTGGGGATTTCGGTGTTAGGGCGGGGATCTGTTTTGTCTATTGTAAAAATGCATTATTTCTTTGAAAATCTTCTCTGCCCCTGGGTATTTAGCAAACATATTAAATGCATAGTTTTCATGTGGAAGGGTGCCTCTTCCAAAATTGTGAGTATATCAGCCCCTGGGTCAGAGGCTCTGGTGTAAGGGTGGGGCTCTGTTCGTTATATATTGAAAAGCATTTATTCTTTGATTGATTGTGTGCTGTTTTACGTCCCATTTGAGAATTTTTCACTCATATAAAGATGTCACCATATACTGGTGAAGGGCTTCAAATTTAGACCTTTACTTGACACTCAGGGCCATTAAGCAGTGAGGGTTCTTTATCATGCCAACTCCTACCATGACACGGGACCTCAGTTTTTCAGGTCTCATCTGAAGGACCTGCAACTTTCACTTCAAAGTGCCGAGCGCTTTGCGAAGGAACAGTTGCTACCTATTTTTTTTATCAACTTAGGTCAGTCACGGCTGTGATTATAATGAGCAAGTGTGTCATTTCCAAAATTGAGAATGTCATGGCCCCTGGGTCAGGGATTTTGGTGTTAGGGTAAGACTGTGTTGAGTCTATAGTGAAAATGCATTATTTTTTTCCAAAATCTTCTGCTCTGCTCCTTGGCAAACAGAGTACAAAGTTAATATATAATAAACAAACAAGGGTATTTTACTATATTCTGGACCACTTGGTCATTTGTTCTGCTGCTGGGCAGGGTTCAGCTAATTTATATTCTTGAGAGAAGTTATTCCCTTTTGTTTTTCACCTATGACAACTAATTACTATAAATAATATCTTTGAAAGGTCAATTGAATAAGAGTATTGTACAAGATTTTTTTTTATAATATTTAATACAAAAAGTACTTTCTTTGTTTTTGAATGGTTATGTAGATTTGTAAATACATGTATAGATAAATAAAATGAGACAAAAATACCTTATCTTGGTGTATATTAAAATTTACATTTAATGTTCTTTAAAGACCAAGAGAATCCATTGTGCGAGGGGATGAGATGGGTTCAATAATTAAGTTTGCATAGTGATATTGACAAACGGGGGCAAGTACACACAAGTAGAAAGATCATCTTAAATTAAGATTTGTTACTGAGTACTAGACTTATTTTCTTGATCTCTGATCATCCTCTTTCTCTTAAGCAACATAGCTTCATCTATTAGTTTTTTTTTTAATTTTTTAGTTATACTTCTATGGATCTTTTATAGTTTTCTATCATACTCAGGTGACCGTTAAGGCCCTTGGGCCTCTTGTTTGCTTTTATGATGTGATCAATCTTTTTTTCGTGTGATAATTTGCACAAACGCCGTTAAGGCGTTCATGTTTAAAATTATCACGCTAGCAAACTGATTGATGATCATCATAAAATATATATATATTCTTTATATATAATAACATTTTTACCTGATCCACGATTCAAAAAACTATTCCATAATAAAAAAAAAAGAAAAGAAATATACATTAAAGTTTATAAATATCCGTGTCATTGTATTTGAAAAATACTTTCAACATTGCTTGGTAATATGGCCGACGTTCAGTTTATCTTATTAACCTATGTCACGTGATGTCACTTCACTCCTTTACAAATTTCAAGAGGAACTTTTCGGTTGCATAAGCGTTTCGCATTAATTTCTGCCCATTGTTAGCAGACCTATTTTTGTATTCATGTGAAGCAGAATTTATACAAAATCTTATACAATAGAAAAATAAATCTCTTGCTGTGACCTTCAACTCACATTTTGATATATCGACGACGTATTATCAATTAACAATAGTTATTTCCATTCATATGTCGACTCGATATATCCCAGTGAGCTTGAAATAAAAGATACAACAGAGTCAGACACATCTGCTTCAAGTTTGGCTATTTTACTAGAAAAAGACGTTAATGGTAATCTAAGAACAATACAAAGCTTTCTGATAAACGTGATGACTTTAACTTTTCAATCGTCAATTTCCCTTACTTATGCAGCAATTAATATATCGTTATCACCTGCATATGGGGTGTATATCTCTCAGTTGATTTGATGCACAAGAACATGTTCTACGTATGAACAATTTCTAAACGAGGTAAGTTATTGACAAACAAGCAAGTTGATGAAACAAGAATATCAACAGTCTCGTTTAAAGACATCATTTCGTAAGTTCTATGGTCGATACAATGACCTTGTCAGCAAATACAATCTACCATTATTTATACACACTGAATTGTCGACGGATTTTTCTGTTCCCGATCATGACAGGGAACGCACGGCGGGTGTGACCGGTCGGCAAGGGATGCTCACTCCTCCATGGCACCTGATCCCACCTAGCTCTGATGCTTTTGGAGGTCCGTGTTTGCTCTGCTCCCGATTTGTATTGTTTTAATGGGCTTTGAGCTTGAATACTTTTCGTTATCTCCATATTTCTTTGCATAGAATTTTAAAGATTTTTTTCCCTATATACATGTATAAAGAAAACAAACCTCTTTTTTATGGAAATACATGAACCTTGTTTATAATACGAAATCATAGGATTTGGAAATAAATTCTTTTCCACAACCTTTTTTTTTTTTTTTTTTTTTTTTTTTTTTTTTTTTTTTTTTTTTTTTAAATTGCACACAAACTTGGCAGATCTGAAAATGAACTGAAATTTACCTGAAATGACCATGGAACCTTATATTACCGATTCTAGTTTCTAGTCGGATAATTAGGACCATTATATTTTCAACCTACACATAAGAAAGTTTATTGGACAAAAATAGTTGACGATGTCTAGATTTTGTATTAACTTCCATAACGCCGGTGATCCAGGAATGCTTTTACATTTAGAATCAAAATACTTAAAATTTTTGATTAACAGGTGAAAACAAACATTAATAGTGATTCTCTGTAACCACTTAAACTTCTTTGCCACGCATGGTCACCGATTTTGATGAAACTTTGCCCATTATTACAACTTGACACCAGAAACATATATCAAATAAAATTTCGTTGCTATGTGTCTTGGTTGCCGTGGTAACAGCCATAAAAGTTGAAAAAATTGAGATTTTCAGCTACTTTAAATCATTATTAAGCCTTAATAAAGACTAAGAAAAACAAACACACTATTCTCCCAAAAACATGACACCTTGTTGCCACTTATGCTATAAAGAAACTATTTAGAATTTATCTCTAAGTAAGTGGTATTCATGGGTACATTTGGAATACATTTTAGATGCTGAAAAATGCTGAAAAACGCTCAATATTCACAAATGAGATGTTACATGATCAAACTCAATCAAAAACCTAAGAAAAGCAATGAAAAATATTTACCTTATGTAATTAGGTATTGCCAGTATTATTCTAAAAATAACTTTCATGGTTGCCATGGTAACACAGTGTCACCATGCAAAATCTGTTGCTATGATTGGATTAATGCTACTATCTTGAAGAAAAACAATAAAATTCATGACTGGCACATATACATCCTTAGGACCTTGCAACACCGACAACATAAAAAAATTTGAGATTAATTGTTACTTTGCAGTGTAACCATGGAAACAAAGTACCAGTTGTTTAAAGTGATATTTTTTTGCTGCCTTAGGAATTTACTAACCTTTTAATCAAGCAACATATTATTTGAATCACCTTGAATAGTACTTATCTCATAGAACTAAAGTTGAATATCATATATTGATGAAGGTTGTTGAAAAATACAATGCTGTTGCTATGGTTACCAAGAAGAGAAAATGTTCGATTTTGTTAATTTTATGTCAATATTCGACCCTACGTGCCAGCTTTTTGCATCCAGTTAGAGATTGGGTGGTAGTCAAAATTGAAAGTCAGGTTAGTTGTTCACATATATCAATCATAAAAGTTTTGGGAATCTACATACAAGGGTACGTATCCAAGGAAACAGAGTATTTTTCAGATTTTTATGCACATTTTTTTGCCTTATTTCCATAGCAACGCACTATTTAAAGAATTGAAATTGAATTTTTTGAAATGTGAAAATTAGGGTCACACTAAGGCCTTTAAAAATTGATTATCAGTTATATAGAAATATGCTTTTTAAAAAGATAGGATAAGATTAAAACACTAAGAGAGTAAATTTAAAATCCCTTCATGGTATTAAAACCATGGCAACCATTGCCAACCTATAAGAAATATCATATTTTGTCCTTGGTATATGTTACAAGGATCTCTTGTCTATTATTTGCTTGCATTTCAACCTATAATTGTTTTTATTCTTAAGTGTATGACTTTATAAAATTAAATGAACAAAATTATTACTTTTGAATACTTTGTTTCCATAGTAACGTATGTTATAGTTGATTTACCAAACATGTTTATCATGCATTTAAGACATCAGACCTTCAACTTTCAGAAACAGTCATTGCCACTTGTTTGCTTTGCTGCAAACGTTAACTGTGGGACTCTGAACATGTTGAAAAATGCCATTTTTCAAACTTTACAACATGTTGCTATGGTAACGATGACACGTAGCAACCAATTTTTGCCTGATTTGAATTTACGGTATCAAAGACTTTTATCATAGAGAGTTTGGAGAAATTCTGAGACTATGCGTGCCACTGCTCCTATATAAAAGTTCAAGTCATTACAGAGAATGGCTCTTAATACATGTACATGTAAAATCTATTTTCGAAAATTTCAATTTGTAAACCTAAAGGGTTCAGAACGGACATTTTATTTGAACATTTTAAACTTGGATTATATTCATATCATAATCATTTTAGTTATTAATAGTGAACTTAGTAGTGACAGTAAAATAAAATAAAAGTTTATTAAACAAGGATGTGCATTATTAGTGTACCACATACAGTGGCTTTATAATTGGAAAAGGGACTTTATGTTCATGGACTATAATTATCTTGTTAGAACAAATTGGATTTTGTTGTTGGTACAATGAGCTATAATTTTGTAAATCATTTTGTAATGGAATTGATCAGAATAGACAAATCAAGCCCATCGATACTAAGTAATAAAATTTGAACGGAAATTTAAGTAACTATTAAGATTCTTGATTAAGAGTAATAAAATTGGGAACTTTGAAGCAGATAAGTAAAAGAGCCTAGGGCTAGAACTCCTGTGGTGCAGAAATGGAGACTGAGTCCATAAATATTATTAATGAAGGTATACCTGGATGGAGAGTGGTGCCATGTTGGGGTTCATAGGTCAACGGAGAGACCTACGGACTAGGCGTAGGTGGTGTGGCAGTGTTAAGACAGCCAATGAAAAATCTTATATATCCGGGACCATGAATATTACCCTCTGAGCACAATATACCTTATTTTGAAGGAAAACGTCTCTCTCTATTCTTTGACTCTTTTGTAATACTTTTTGGACTCTAATTTTTTGGACTCACCTTAATTATTACTTTTGGAGTTTTAGTTCTTCTGAAATATTTGGGAAGGATCTTTGAAACTTTTGCTACAACCAGCGTATTGGTCTATTCTGGTGAAATTTGAGAATCTAGCATTGAAAACTCTATACGATAACGGTTGTTCAATAAACTTTTCAAAAAACTTACAAATTTGGTTATTGGCTTACAAATTTTAAATTGCTGACTTAATTAAAAATGTAGTCGCTGTTAAAAATTTTTACATGGGCTTTTCTGTGATATTTCAAGGATCTGCGCTCTTTTTTCACACAGAAACGCCACGCTTTCATGAAGAACGAAAGATTTCCTGGGATCACTTACTGTGTGGGACTTAATTTCTAGAAAATGTGTTGGATAAAACATCTATTTAGCCAATACTTAACTATATAAAGATCAGTAACAATGATACTAATTAATATACTTGTACAAATCTTAGGTGTGCTTGGTATTTTTAATGTATACTTGATGTATAGTTAATCTGATATGTCAGTTTGGAAGAAATCTGATCTCGGTACCGCGCAAATCATGAAGTTTTAAATTTTGAATGCACAAAATGTACCGAATATTTAGATGAGTAGTACGATGTAGATTTCAATTTACTTTATTTTATATCTAAGGGCAGATCACTCACTATATCTGTATAAAAATACCACGAGAATTAAAACTGCAGTTAGCGGTGCATAGAGGAAGCTTAAACTCTGCACACTGAATTAAGAGTTCTGTGTTTATTTTATGCACTTAAGGTGACCTGCCCTTAGAAGTACTATATAGATTAAATAGAAATCTAGAATGAATGACACAATGTCTAACAGAATGAAGTATATCCATTTGAATTAGACCAAACTGAGTGTGCACAAGTAACTGAAATTATTTATTTAAATAAAAATAAACATGTTTTAATTTTATGGTACGATTTAACTACACCCTGTATAACTATAACAGACATTTTTTTTAAGTCTTCATCTAGACTTTTTTAAAATCGAAGATTCGGAGCACATGTAGTTTTTGCTCTGTCCGTCCGTCTGTCTGTCGATTCTGTCCAAAAAAAAAAAAAAAAAAAAAAAACTTGCCCATAACTTTTGATTGGTTGGAACTTATAATGGCTTTCATATTTCACATGTGTATTCCTTGTGACAAAACCTTTCTTTTGGGTACCAACGTATTTGACCTCTTGACCTTAACCTTGGAGTTTGGCCCGTTTTTTACAAAATTTTACCAAACTTTAACCTTGATCATATCTTCTAAATGGTTGGTGCTAGTGCTTTCATACTTCACATGTATGTGTATACATGTATATTCTTTGTGATAAGACCTTCTTTTGGATCAAATATTTTTTACCTTAAATTGAGCTTGGAGTTTGACGAGTTTAAAAAAGATGCCTTGGCCATGTACGTTTTGAATGATTTGAGCTAGGACTTTCATATTATACAGGTGTATTCCTTTCCTTGAGTATCAACAATTTTTACCCTTTGACCTTGGAGTTTGACCCACTTTTGAAAAACTTTAAACTTAATTGCCAATAATTGGCTTTTATTTTTGAACGACTTCTTGTGACGAGACCTTCCATCGGATACCAACAATTTTGACCCTTTGAAAAACTTTAACTTTGGCTCGTAACTTTTGAACAGTTCGTGCTAGTGCTTTCATTTTTCACATGTATATTCCTAATGACATTTCTTTAGGTACCAATAATTTTGACACTTTGATTTGACTCTGCATGGAGTTTGGCCTAATTTTGAAAACCTTTAACTTTGGTCATAGGCTTTTGAACGGACGGTGCCAGGGCTTTCATATTTCACTTGTGTATTTCTTGTGATAAGTCCTTCCCTCGGGGTTTGGCCTACTTTAAAAAAAAAATTGCCAACACTTTTGAAACTGAGGTTGGTGCTATATAGTGCATTCATATTTCACAGGTGTATTCCTTGTTATAAGACTATTCTTTGGGTACCAATATACTTGATATCTTGACCCTGGAGTTTGATTTGCATTTGAGAAACGTTAACCTTTATTTCCATTTTTAAATGGAGTTCTCCTTCCTGAATGATTTCCAAGAAGAAAAAAATTGACGATCAGTCATTTACATGCCAGTGCATTTTCTCAATTGTCCTGTTCCCGTCTTTAGGGGACGATCATTTGATTCGGGGGGGGGGGGGGCAAAATTTTCCGAGTCAGATTATCAGATTATTTATTTTTATGTCGGTGAAGGATAGATTATTTATTTCCAAGATGATCAAGGGGGCAGGTTATTTATTTTATTCACTCAAAAAAAAGTCTGACAAGGAAAAAAAACTTTACTTTTGCCATTTTCGAGGACAGCTAGATTATTTTATTTCCAAAATCTGCCAGCCCCCTCCCTCTCCCCGAATCAAATGGTCGTCCCATTATATATATTTCCTTGCATGTACCCTATGTTGAAAATAAATTAAAGTAACACGTCTCTACCTTACCATACTTTCAGTACTTTGATTTTAAATTTCCCATCGTGCACTTATGTTCACGTGACAAGTCTCCTCCGGTCTCCTTGTACTGTCGCCATGATGCATGCAGCGAGAAGAGCGTGGACCGGGGTGTTTAATGCCTCGAAAAGCGCCGTTTCAGTGTCATCTTCATTAAACCAGGCAAACAAAGCTGTTCCATCATGTTTCATTAATCGTATGTATGTTTTATTTTAGGAGGCGATTTATATTGCGTAAGTTACAGCACAATAACAAAGCCGGTATAGTAGGGTATTTGACCCCCGGGCTCCAACAGTTGCTCCCCCAGTCTGAATACATTGATATCTCTTCACACTCTAATTCATTATAAAGATGTTTTTAGACGTTCTAATTCCATACTTCTCATTTTCTGTCGATGATATGATATACGTTTGGAACAAATACTTCTGAACTCGATCGACCTGCAGAGGTCACCGGTAAAAATGTCTCATTTTGTATATTTTTTGGTTTATAAATTAAAAAGTCTTTATTTAGCAAGAAGTAGTGAATTGACATAGCCTATTTTTGCAATTGGAATGAATGTTTTAAGTGTTGTATTTCATTTAACTTTCTCGTCTGTTAGTGACAGTAAATCGAGGAAATTCGAACTGTTATTGAAATTGTTCTTGCCCTTGAACACTTTTAGACCATAAGTTTTAAAAAGAAATAACTTCGGAATCGTAATTGCAAAGATCAAATAAAAATACTGTAATAATAATTTGAGTTTTATTGTCAAATGTTATCTGAATAATCTGAAGGTCATTCAAAGTATGAATAGCGGATCTTGGACTTAAGAGTTTATTCATTATTGATTTTTGTCAGTTTGATTTATCATGGTTATGAGTTATAATTCTGTGCAATTAATTTTTTAATTGGTAGGTGGTCATCAGAATATTATTAACAAATTTATGTATTGCAGGTCGACGCTATGCAGCCACAGCAGAAGCAGCAGCTGCATCAACATCCAAAGGCCGCGTTGTGGCTGTCATTGGTGCTGTGGTAGACGTACAGTTTGATGATACCTTACCTCAAATTCTGAATGCTTTAGAGGTCAAAGACAGACAGCCCAGACTAGTATTAGAAGTTGCACAACATTTAGGTATACTTTTTTTAATGAGAAAAAGTAAACATAATATATGCCACTTCAAGGCTTTCTAAAAGATCAGGAGGTACCTGTACAAAAAATAGGAGGTACCTTGTGGAAGTGATTTTATTAAAATATGTTAAGTGATTTTATTAAGATGTGTTAAAACATTTTTCTCCATAAAATATTTTAGCCTGTGCAGTCATGATTTCAGCCGGGTAAAGGTACTGGGTACTGGCAGATTTTAAAAGGCTTGCCACTTAACACTGATTTGGAAAAAATGTAAAGGTGCTAATTTCTTTGAATTTTGATAGGTGAAAATGTTGTACGAACTATTGCTATGGACGGTACAGAGGGTTTGGTGCGTGGAGCACAGTGTATTGACACAGGGTTCCCCATCAGAATCCCAGTGGGCAGAGGAACTCTGGGAAGAATTATCAACGTCATTGGAGAACCCATTGATGAGAGGGGCCCAGTAAAAACTGACACGTAGGTTTATTTAATCTCTTGCATCGTATTTTGTGTGGTTTATTCATACAACAAATTTATTATGTGAAGTTGTAAATTTTTTATTTATGTTAAATTTTAGTGTACAATTCCTTTGTTTAGACTGTAAATTTGACAAATTTAGTTTAATATAGCCCTGCGGTGTCTTTCTTCCAGTGTTTTGCCCATCCACGCAGAAGCTCCTGCCTTCACTGAAATGAGCGTCGAACAAGAAGTGTTGGAAACAGGAATCAAGGTCGTAGATCTGCTCGCTCCCTACTCCAAAGGAGGAAAGATTGGTAAGGGATATAAAACATTTGTCTTATAATCAGGTGTGATAATAGGGCTGTGTATTGAGCAAAAAAATTGATGCGATACGATACAATATTTTATAATGCCATATCTGATAAATTGGATTCTTTAACATATCTATCAAAAAAGGTCTTATAAATCATTCAATGTATGAATTTTATAAAAACTTATTGTTTTATTACCCATTTCGAAGGTCTTGTCTCACTATCTCTACAAATAACATTTCAAATTCAAACTTTTAATGACTGTAAAAACAGCATGTTAAAATAAAGTTGTCTATGTAATTTATAATATTTATCTAAGATGTGGTATATTCTTAATGATTGTATCATTATTGATCAATTTTAATTTAAAACAGTGAAAATATAACCTTTGGTGATTGAAATTCCCAACTTTTTCACAGAATTATGAGAAAATCTGCCTGTCCGATATGTATTGGAAGTTATTTTTTCAATACAGTGGTTCCCGTTTTATCGAATAGTCAAGTTGTCAGCATAGTTTTATCCGAATAGCCGAAAATTAGAATAGCCGATTGCTCCATACCGAGTCCAAAGATAGATGTATAGAGCTACATGTATTGATAATACATCGTAGCTAGCAAATTTCAAGCTTGCACTTTTGTTTTCTTTTGACATGTTTGCTTAATGACTTTACTAAAAATAATTTATTTCACTTACTTATGAATTTAAGATGAACTTTTTTTTTCAAATAAATTGACGTATAGAATATATTCTTTGATAGTTATTGCCATCTTTCTTCAGCACATGTTGACATTCCTTCTTCGACGGTCGCCATTTTGGAAACGGATGTAGACTAAATGCTTGACTAATAACCGTAAACTATTTTTCCCTGGATAGATTGTAAATTAAAAATAAACAAAAATATTAAATATATGTAATTGTTTCCTTTTGATTTGTTTCTTTAATACGGTTACGTATTTTATACTGTGTGTGAGTTTACCAGTCTCGTTCTTGTCTGCTGAAGAGAGATTTTGAGAGCCATGTGGAGAAAGATGGTATGAATTTTGAGACGATTTTTATAGAACGAGCCATTTGTGATTTTTACCATAAATTTTGCACTGAAAAAGTGAATAAATATTAAGCCAATTGACCAAGTTAAATGATTGAATAGGTTTATTTCATTATCCAAGCAAATTGTCATACACAAGCTTAAGCTAATCAGTTCAATAATTAAAATTTCACGCCGAAAAAATTGCAAATAATGGTCATAATTGACAAGTGCATCATTGAACCCAAGCTGATCACCACAACTGTAATCAAAACATATCTATTTACTATGCCCACTATTGACACAGGTAAGGTGCCTGTGTGCGTCCAGGCGTAACTAATCCCCTCATTGTCGTACTCAAGCCAGTCAAGGTAATTGGTGTCAAACTGTGTAAACAACGGCTTCACATACGAAGTTGGAGGTGTGAACAAGGTGCTGATTATCAAAAAAACATTATGATAGTCCAAATTTTTGTATCGGATAAAACGAAATTCCAGTATTTTTTCATCAGAATATCAGGTGAAATTATTAATAGATATATAAGAAATGGTTTTGTGCTCTGATATTATATTGAAATAGCCGAAATATTCGTTAAACCGCTATCCGATAAAATGGAAGCCACTGTATGATAATTCTTAAATATTGATACGTATCGATATATTGATACAGCCCTATGTGATAATACAGAAAACCAGAAAGCAAATCGTGTACAGAGATTAAAAAAAAAAAAAATATGTGTATGTCCTCTTTTAACCAAAATGAAAACAGACACAAGTGTATATATATATATATATATATATATGTGGGCTATTCGTGTATATATATGTGGGCTATTCCTCTTTATCAACATACAGTTTAGCATATTGGAGTGCTTTGTCAATGTGCATCTAAACAATTACCGTAAGTTTTGGGGTATATGTCGATGGGGTATATAGGTCGAAAGGCTCATTTTCAGCCATAATTTTTAAAAAATCCTTAGATAGGACGATTTGGAAGATAGGACGAGGCTTTGTTTATCGACTTTCTAGAGATTCTTACGTAGAAACTACGTATCAGAACATGTAAAAGTCTTTAACTTAACCCGTGATATTAACGTATGAAGAAAATAAACTGGTATTTTTATGAGTACAGCATTTTAATAGTGTTTTATAAAAACGTAGTTAAAACTTCCTTGAATTGTGATATAACGCATTTTCTCCAACTTGCCTGTTCAACGCTGTCGTCGTTTGACTCCGTCGTTAAACACATAAATACGGTAGTATACAACAGCTATAGTTAGGGAAATACCCGAAATCAAACAATAATCATTTCCATTTTAGAACATCGTGGACACATTCTTTTATTCCAACATTATTTACCGGGGTACAATATTAAGTGCGATGACCGCCATTTTTATATTTCTTGTTCAGGGATTTGCTAAAACACGCAATGGACTATAACGTGTAACAGTGAGCAATTGAAATTAATCATATTAACATGCTATAATTTGCTCGAGATATTGTTGTTAAAAAATGAATTTAATTGAGAGTACATTCGCAATTAAACAGTCATCAGGAATTTCACAGTTTTGTTTGTTCAATGATGTTTAGCACTAATACCCCTGTAACGGCACGTGGATCTGTTAATCATGCCCCGCAGGTGTTTAAACCTACAGGTGTTAACACCTTTGTGTACACAGTGTATATCCCTCTATCTGTCAGACAATTAAAATTCCATTAGAAGCCAATCTTTGTATAATTCGGTGTACCCCTTGGATATAAAACAAAATAGTTATGACTAGCGGTATTTTGGGAATTTACCGGCAACAGTTTATTTCACACATTTTACATTTAAATAAATATCACAAGACAATGAAAAAATATTTAGGTATACTATTTTAATTAATCGTTACAAATAAATGGTAATAAAAAAAATTCAATTGCGATTGTGAAAACTCCTCCGTATTTTAAACTTTGATACGGTTGCGGTTTTATTTTTAGTAAACGATTGCGACTTCCAACTTCACAAGATGGACACAGCATGTTGTAAATATACTTTGAGACATTATTGATGATATAATAAGTTTTTTTGTACATCGACGGATATTTAATGGAACTTATTTTGTAAGAAATCAATGGAATAAATATTTAATTGTTTATTGTTTATTATTTTTTTCTCGGTAAAGTAATTTAAAAAAAATACGAAAATGGCACAGATTTGCTTTAAAATTGACGTAAATTTTACTGATTTTGGGGCATTTTTCGTAAACTTGGGCCTTAGATAGGTCGATTCGTTAAATAGGACGATCCCAGCGGTTCTGAGAAAAAAAGTATCGTCCTATCTTCCAAAACTTACGGTAGATGGATTTCTGTAGGATGTGTTAGCTATACTTGTGTCTGTGTATCTGTACAGGTCTGTTTGGTGGAGCTGGAGTAGGTAAAACTGTACTGATTATGGAACTGATCAACAACGTCGCCAAAGCTCACGGAGGTTACTCTGTGTTTGCTGGTGTAGGGGAGAGAACTCGTGAAGGAAATGACTTGTACCACGAAATGATCACATCTAAAGTCATCAGTCTGACAGACGATACCTCCAAGGTTTGAAATTGACACATAATTTTACCAATGCTGATTTCAGTACTTAGAAACCATTCATTAATCCAGCTGGTCAACAAATGATCAGTGAGAATATAGGGTAGTTCTTAAATACTGAAGTACATTTATTGAGTTACTTTTGTAAAAAAAAAAAAAAAAAAAAAAAGATAATTTTTGAACATTACATTAGCTGCAATAATGTAGCCCTCTCCGATTTTTTTTAATCTGATATTTTCAGGAGAGGGCTACAATTCCACTGCATCTCTGTAATGGTGCAAATATATTTTTTTAGATACGGGCGACTGCAGGCAAAATAAATTGTTTTTGCACTCAACTTACTTCCAATAAGACAGAATTTTTATTCACTATCAACATCATAGCCCTTTATACGCGAAAATCAAGTAAAATAATTCTGCGTGTTTACCAGTCGTTCTCTTCAGCAGCCATGACAGTTCTCGCGTGATGTACTGAGACTTACGCTTGAAATTTAGAATCGCTTGATAAAGTAAATGTCGGTGTTGATAAACGTTTGTGTTGTATAATATCACTAAACATCGATAAATAAAAGCATTCCATGGGATATTTTTTTCATAAACAGTGATACTTATGCTTAAAATAAGGGAAATCCTAAACGATCCGCTCCCCTAGATCCCGTATTCTCATTGGTTGTCCCAAAATAAAATCGATCAAGGTCAGTAAACATGGCGGATAAATTTAAGTTGGGATGTTGACATACACGAAAAATAACCGATATACGGATTGTTCTGTATATTTTTGGATCTATTCATGTCTTGAATAACTACATTTTATGAGTTCAGGTAAGATATGTCAATAAAATACCCACTTACTGATAATTTGAGCCGAAATCATTGCGGCAGTGAATCACTCCCGCACTTGCACCATTACGGAGATCCTAAGGAGTTGTAGCCCTCTCCCAAAAAAAAAAAAAAAAAAAAAAAAAATCGGAGAGGGCTACATTATTGCAGCTAACATTACATATGTGACCTCCACATATCTTACATACTGAAATTTTTAGGAGCAAGTTCAAAAGAATGTTTATTTTATGATTACAGGTATCACTGGTGTACGGACAGATGAATGAGCCCCCAGGAGCTCGTGCTCGAGTCGCCCTGACAGGTCTGACTGTGGCCGAGTATTTCAGAGATCAGGAGGGACAGGACGTACTGCTCTTTATTGACAACATTTTCCGATTCACACAGGCAGGATCTGAGGTGAATATTGCGAGCCAAGATCTGCATCTCACAAAGTTGGAGCAATGGAGGCCTTATATTAATTCAGAAAACTCAGAACCCTTTTATAAAAATTTCTCTATTGATGTGCAGAATAGTGAGATCTTATTTCAACTCTGCAAACTTTAAAATCCTATTGTAAAATTTCTCCATTCACTGGCAAAGCATGATTACTGGGGAAAAAACTGTTTGATAAAGTAAAGCATGAAAGTAAGGCAATTGTTGGGGACCATTGTTTATTTGCTGAAAGTTGAAACATTTTGTGGATTTCTATTCTGAATTCAGTGTGATGCTTTTTGAAACTTTCATTTAGGAACGTGAGGTTTAATTTTCTCTTTGTACTCCTAGGTATCTGCCTTGCTGGGTCGTATCCCATCTGCTGTAGGATATCAGCCAACTCTGGCCACTGACATGGGTAGTATGCAGGAAAGAATTACTACTACCAAGAAAGGATCCATCACATCTGTACAGGTAAATATTTAAGATTTACAAGTTAAAGGATCTATTAAGCTACCAAGTTCTAAATTATTAATTGAGATCCAGAGGAAGTGAAGTATGCAGACCTGCCTGACCTCCCGATTTACCCTAAATTTTTAGGATTCTAGACCTAATTACACTGTAAGGTTTAAATTCCAAAATGAAATCTCCCAATTTTGGAATTTCTAATATTTTTTATTTCAAAATTATTGGAAAGAAAATAGAAACAGTAGATACAGATGCCTGAGTGTTAGAAAATCCTCATGCAGTTTTCAAGCATCTGCTTGAGAAGTATCTGTCCAGTGGACAGACATCCTCATAAATTGATATACAGGTAGTTATGAAAAAAAAAATTACACCTGTACTTCCTGTAGTTATCCAGTTTGGTCATATCTATCTGTCAGATATAATATTAAGGTGTATCCTCTGAATACAACCTTAAGTATCTTTAATTTGAATTTACTTAAATTTCTGCATCGAAAGTAGAAAAAAATTTCTGCATAAAAGTCCAATCTCGCTGACACATTGGTAGAAAATTACATATTACTATCATCTGGTTTAGGTAGGTCTGAGTATGTAATTTTATCAATTATTGTTAAACAAATTTCTAGAATTACATTTTCAAACCTTGTTGTGTCCAGCATTAGACATTTACTGATGGGAGAATTCAATGTTAATTTTGTATTGTAGGCCATTTATGTGCCAGCTGATGACTTGACAGATCCTGCTCCTGCCACCACATTCGCTCACTTGGACGCCACCACCGTGTTGTCCCGTGGTATTGCTGAGTTGGGTATTTACCCCGCTGTGGATCCCCTAGATTCCAATTCCCGTATTCTGGATGTAAATGTTGTAGGAGAGAGGCATTACCGAGTAGCTCGTGGTGTCCAGAAAATTTTACAGGTATGTTCCTGCTTTATAAACTCTAATAATTTTACTATTTCATAAAATGAATAGTTGTGAAAATAACTGAGATGAGCAGAAATGTGTTATTCAGCAAAATAAGTTCCATTTTGATAAGAGTCGGGAAATGCAGTATTGTACTTCAGTAAAATAAGTTCCATTTTGATAAGAGTCAGGAAATGCAGTATTGTACTTCACTTTACACATGTACTTTTGATAGGTAAAATGTCATTTTAGTTTGCTATGCACATAGAAGGGCTTATGCCATTGAGGTGCGGTTGAAATTAATATGAGTTTCCTACTATCTATAACGAAACTTTATACAGATGTCATCTCAGCTTTTCCCAAAGTCCTGTGGAGAGTTATCTCTTACCTCAGTTGTTTAAATTTTTTGGATAATATAACTGGCACATTTCTATGTTATTATTCCTGAAATTAACAAAAGTAATGGCGTCATATTATTGAAAATGATTAATTAAATGCAGATTTCATAGTAGACAGGTAAAGTAATCATTAAAATTGAAATTGTCCAGGTATATTGTAAACAAAAATGTTATTGGCCAAAATGGTCAGTTTTAAAATTACTTTCATTTAATTTTTCAGGATTTCAAATCACTACAAGATATCATTGCCATTTTGGGTATGGATGAATTGTCAGAAGAGGACAAATTGACAGTGGTCCGAGCCAGAAAGATCCAGAAGTTCTTATCTCAGCCTTTCCAGGTAGCAGAAGTCTTCACAGGTCAGGAGGGGAAATACGTACCTCTCAAAGAAACCATCACCGGATTCGAGAGAGTATTAAATGGTGAGTTCTAAAGTATATAATGCTCAGTGAAACCAACATTGAATTTGAGAGTGTTGAGTATGCACTAGTACAATGGAGGGATATTTAAGATTGCATGTATATAGGGTAATGAATTTTATGAACATCAGAAAGAAATATGATTTTGATAAAGGCGATTTCTGTTTTAATTAAAAACATAAGCAAGTAACTTCCTTTAGTTTGTAAAAGGAAATTGTTAAAATGATAACATGTTTAAGATCAAATATATACTGTTAAATAAAGTTTGATGACACTCAAACCAGCATGTATTGAGATGACAGCTTACACTGTGTAATATTTCAGGTGAATATGATCACATCCCCGAGGTAGCTTTCTACATGGTGGGTCCCATTGAAGAAGTAGACCAGAAAGCAGCCAGACTAGCAGAGGAACAGACCTAAGGCAGCCTTGTTGATTCTTAATAACTATAGGGTGATCTGACTTCTTAATATAGGGAATATAATTTATGATTGAACATTAGTGCTGTGAATTGGACAACAGAGATGTAAAAAGATGACCAAGTGACATATTTTGTGATGTATGAAAAGTTGTAGGTCTTACAAATCTACAATAAACATGTTTTGAAAAAACTGAATATAAAGTTTCAATGGTTTGTTTTTGCTATGAATAGCAAGCAAATTCAGAAAATTGTGGTCCTTTGCTTTCTTGTTCATTGGGGTGCAGTGATACGGCATATTGTTGCTGTCATGTTTGTCCTGGCTTGTCTGTCAAACATGCAAGAAAAATGTTATATATTTTGGAAGCAATATGTTTTGGTGCAAAAGTTAAGGAGTTTGTGAATGTCTTGTCACAAGATATGCACTCGGAAAAAGTATAAAAGGCCAAGATTAAATTTTTTGAGAAGTAGGTCAATCACATTTAAAGGTCTTATCCGACAGGTAATGTACATATAAAACTATAAATGCCCTGTTTCTTCAGGTACAAAAAGCCATCACCAAAGTTAATTTGTCTTCTAATTAGGTCAAGGTCATGAGGTCAAAAATGATGACTCCATCAAAGGTTTCGTTAGAGACTTAGAGTTGATGAATGTGAAATATGAAAACCATATCTTAACTCTTTCAAAAGTTGTAACCAATGTTAAAATTTTCGAGAAGTTGGTCAAAGGCATGGGCACTGGAAGTTAATGTAAATATATAGTATGTATAAAAAAGGATTTATACATGCACATACTATATATTTAAGTTAACTTCCAGTGGCCGTGGTCAAAGGTTAAAAAATTTTGAGTAAAAAATTATAGAACATTTGAAAAGGTATTGTCACAGGTGCACATCTGAAACCTCATATTCAAAAACTTTTTGACAAAAAGTTATTACCAATGTTAAAATTGCTGAAATGTAGGTCAAGGTTACAAAGTAAAATAGTACATGGAAAAGTCTTGTCACGCATAATGCACATCTGAAATATGAAAGCCCTATCTTCTCACATGGAAAAGTCATTGCCAATGTTGAAAAGTAGGTCAAACTTCAAGGTCACAGAGTCAAAATTTATAGTACATTTGGAGAGGTCTTGTTATAGGTAATGCAAATATAAAGTATAAAAACCTAATCTTCTCTCATTCAGTAGGTATGACCAAGGTTAGAAGTTTCTGGGGCATACTGACAGACAGACGAATGAGATTTAACGTGCATTAAAATGCCAGTAACATTTCCAGAAACGACCAACGGCCGACATTTTTTAAGGCAAAAAATAAGATAGTCGGCTGTTCATCGTTCGGCCGTTGTCTTGCCTGATTTTGACCTCTGTTTTTCTCGGTCGACTACTTTTGTGTCTGTCGGGTCATGTTATATTTTTTTCTGTGTCGGTGGCCGATTCCTTTAATTGAAGCAGTTGTTGAATAGTCTGTCGACCAACCTGCGATTATTATCCGACCATCGGCAGACAGTTCGTTAAGTCGGTCGTGGGTCGGTCGACATTTACGAATTGGGTTGTCGGCCGACGGTGAAAATCAAACTGCAGCTTAGCGAACGATGATCGGGCGACTGCATGAAATAGCGTACGGGATACGTCTGTGTGATTTACACACCAATTACATTCACAGTACAAAAAACCCAGAAGCAACCCTACCTGTGGGGCGACAATATGTACAGTGAGGGTATAGGCACATAATGTCACCGACAACAATATGTACCGTCATAATCGCAGCGATTAAAAAGACTATTTAACTAAGAGTCAGAAAACCAACAGTTTGTAGAAATGCATGTGACGTTCAATAAATTGGTGGGTTTCAGCGCACGCATGCAAACACTAACACAACCATTAAGACTTCTCAGCTATGTTATATTATTTTTTAAAAGTAGGTCAAACTCCAAGGTCAAGGTTAATGCCAAAATTGTTGGTATCCAAAGGAAGGTCTTGTCACAAGGAATATACATGTGAAGGATGAAAGCCCTTGCACCAACTGTTCAAAAGTTATAGCCAAGATTAAAGTTTTTTTTCAAAAGTAGGTTAAACTCCAAGGTCAAAGGGTCAAATTTGTTGGTTTCTAAAGGAAGGTCTTGTCACAAGGAATGCACATGTGAAGTATGAAAGCCCTGGCACCAACTGTTTAAAGTTAATGGCTAAGGTTAAAAGTTTTTTAAAAGTAGGTCAAACTTCAGGGTCAAGGTTAAAGATGTTGGTATCCAAGGAAGGTCTTATCACAAGGAATGCACATGTGAAGTATGAAAACCCTAGCAATAACTGTTCAAAAGTTATGACCAAGGTTAAAGTTTTTCAAAATTAAAGTAGGTCAAAGTCAAAGGTCAAAGTTGTTGGTATCCAAAGGAAGGTCATGTCACATGGAATACACATGTGAAGTTGGAAAGCCCAAGCACCAACTGTTCAAAAGTTGTGGTCAAGGTTAAAGTGTCATAAAATTTTGCAAAAGTGGGTCAAACTTCAAGGTCAAAAGGTCAAATATGATGGTACCCAAAGAAAGGTCTTGTCACAAGGAATACACATGTGAAGTATGAAAGCCATAGCTTCAGCCAATCAAAAGTTATGGGCAAGGTTAAAGTTTTTGCGGACAGACAGACAGCTAGACGGACGGACAGGGAATACTATATGCCCCCGAATCTTCGATTACGGGGACATAAAAAGTATATACACACCAAAGAATGCAAAAAATTGATCATTTTTCATACTATGTCACAATTTATCCACAGCTCTATTTTTTTTAAGATTATACTTACAAGTGGGTTTTTCCTCCATGTTTTTCTTAACTGAAATATGAATAGTTATACGCATATACGGAGCAAAGACCTACTATACATGTACATAAAAATACTCTTTTGTAATATTACATTCGTATCTTTCAGAGAAATATTTAAAGTTCATTTAGTCAAGGGTCATTTCACAAACGTAATTTAAATGCCTCTATTTGTTATGAGCTGAGTGTGTTAGTAAAAAAAAAAAAAAAAAAAAAAAACAAGATGTGTTTGTGAAACACTGATGCCCCCGTATGGCAGCTTATAGCAAAGGTTAAACTTTATCAAATGCAAATCAAGTATATTGGTACCCAAAGAAAGATCTTGTCTCGAAGAATATACCTGTGAAATATGAAAGCCCTAGCAGCAACCATTGAATAGATATGGAAAAGGTTAAAGTTTTTCAAAAGGAAGTCAAACATCAAGGTCAAATGGTCAAAATTAATGATGCCCAAGGAAAGGCCTTCTCACAAGGAATACAAATGTGAAATATGAAAGCCGTAGCACCAATCGTTAAAACGTTATGGGCCAGGTTAAAGTTTTTCAAAAGTAGGTCAAACTCCAAGGTCAAGGTTAAATGGTCAAAGTTGTTGGTATCCAAAGGAAGGTCTTGTCACAAGGATTACATATGTGAGGTATGAAAGCCCTAGCTCCAACCATTCAAAAGTTATGGCCAAGGTTAAAGTTTTCTAAAAGTAGGTCAAACTCCAAGGTCAAAAGGTCAAAGTTGTTGGTATTCAAAGAAAGGACTTGTCACAAGAAATACACATGTGAAGTATGAAAGCACTAGCACCAATCGTTCAAAAGTCATGGCCAAGGTTAAAGTTTTTCAAAAGTAGGTCAAGGATCAAAGGGTCAAAGTCAAAACTGATACTCAGGATTTTTAATGATTTGGTTCGAACCCCAAAAATACCTCAGAAAATGATTTTTACTGCAAGAATTTTCCGCAGAAAATTTTTGTTTGTCACAATTTCATACTTTTCAATACACTTTTATACATTTGAAACTATGGGCATTTTGCATGCCTTGTTCGGACCATCTCCTTTAAGCAAAGGTGATCCTTAATTATTGTGTGTTTACAGAAAAAAAAAATTAAAAAAAAAAAACTTCCCTCACCCTTAATCGTCTGTTTTTAATGCTGCATGAAATAAGAGAGCAGATTTCCTCTCCGTAGAATAATAAATCATTGCCATAGAAGCCTTATTTTCGATGTATGAGATTAATTAAAACTTATGTAAATTGGATAGCATCCTAACAAATTAAAAGTTTGAAATTACGTATACGTGTACATGTACATGTTGTATTGATGGAAAATGTTTTAAGATTATAACTAGCATGTACAAAGGTATCAAGTCAAAAGTAGTATAGTTAATGGAATAAGTTCAGAAATGTTTGAATGTATTAAAGTATTGGAATTCGACAAGGGGAGAATTTGTCACCATTCTTATTTTCCCTGTACTAAAATGACCTTGGGGAATTTTTATCTGGTTACAAAGCGAAGGGATTATCTTGTTTGTCAGAAAAACTCAAGAGAGAACTTAATCTCAACTTGTAAACAGCTTTCTGTTTTATTATATGCAGATGATACTATCTTGCCAGAAAATTCAGAGGATTTTCAGGACATGCTGAATACGTTTTCTAAATATTGCAAGAAGTTGCACCTTAAGGAGGTTGGATCCTGCCATCAAAAGTAATGAGAATTTTTTATCAAGTATATTTTTAGAATTTATACACATAGCTTAATTAAAAATCAAAACAAAAAATGGGGGTCAATGCGCGTCTTTTGGCGCTACAGAGCATTTAGTGTGACCTTTTTGCACTGTAAATATGTCTTACACATAAATCAATTTTTAAAGTTTTTCCTCCAATATTTTTATTCAAATAAATTATGGGAACAAACACAGTCTTATTTCATCTTGAATAGACACATTAAAATTTGTGACAACGAAATTTTTTTTTTTTTCAAATTACTCCACATGTTCAATTATTTGACCTTTTTGCACTCAAAAAATTTCATTTTTCTGGCATAAAAAATTTAACAAGCAAAAATATCATTTGAAAGTAATGATATTTTACTGAATTTAAGAAGAATGGTTAAAAGTATCTTATATATTCAGAAAATAAAATAAAAAGTGAGGGTCTGTGATGTTAATTTTTAGATGTTACTAAAATAGTACTAATTTATATTCATATATAATGATAGAATTCGTGACAGTTTATTTAATATATAATTTAGGACCAGTATAAAACAGTTCACTGCACAAAATAACTCTGTGTGCAGACTGCATGTAAAAATAGGAATCCGAACTTAACATACTTTAAATACTTCGAAAGAGAAAAAATGATCATTTTCTTCTAAAAAAAACCTTCCACCACAAAATATAGTTCCTCACTT